CTGCTATATGCCAATGGGCGCAGCCCTATTTGATTATGTTTTAAGATGACCTTTGACATGAGCGTGAAGCAATCAAAGAGAACAGACATGCCCGTTCCACAGCAGGCTAAGACAATGTATGCCGTACAATACATATAACTCAAATAACATTAAACTGCATAAATCAATCTTACTCATTCTATGTCATAACTTAGGTTAAATTGGGCAGTTGTTACCAACTTACCACTACAACTAATACTTTAGCATAGTAAATTTAAATACCTAATACTGTAACTTGTTTACACCAAAGGATCAAGAACAAGCAGTTAGAACAAAGGAATATACAAGGCAGTTGTATCCTTGTTAAACTTCACCGTACTTAGGCTGTATTCATATAACAAGAGACTTTCAATGCATTAAAGGCAGTAATTAATACACTAAGTAACTAATCTTATAACACTATAAATATAAAAGGTAAAATAAAACATACCATAAATGTACTTGAATCACATAATAAGTGAGTGGTCAAACACACGTCTGATCCCGATCACATTCAGGAGGCCACTGATTCGCGCTAATTTTTTCGACGCTACTGACCCACGCTATCATTATGTCATGAGTGACGACATACAAATTTCTGCCCTCTATAATGGGTTAAGAAACCTTTTACACTGTTAATCATATATAGTAATAACAATTATACTGTACATACATATCAGATTCAGATAATTTATTGTCAAAGTGTACATGAAAATCTATAAATTTATTAGGTTTTATACAGATTAAAATTCATGATGAATGCAAAAAAAAAGCCAAACTTAACTACCTAAATCATATACAGTATATTCCTTTTTATGATGATGAAATAATAAAATGCTTAAAAACCCCCTTTTAAATATATCCCTGTCCCACTACTTTGAGTCAGATTATTTACGCAGATTCAAGTTTATAAGAAAGATTAAATATATACCAAAATATTCAATCTGACTCAGTGCATCTTATTCATTTAATGGATGAATGCCCATAGGTGGAATTTATAATATACACTCTGTTGTGTGCTTGTTAGGTTTTTTTTATACAGAAAAACCAGAAAAAATATACAGGTACTAAAGAAAGAATAAACAAACTTGCAAATATCAAAATTTATGAAAATCAAAGAAATACAAGTTGATAGCAGGGGCGTACCGTGGGGGGGTCGATGGGTGCTGTCGACCCCCCCTTTTTAGAGAAAGTGCCCTTTAAATATGCTTGCTTCACTCACAAATAACGCACCCCGCGAATTCTGAAAGCTTCGCTAAATTGCTCCGAGATCAGCTTGCCCCCTGCGCTTTTGTTTCGACCCCCCCCCTTAGATTTTTCACCGTACGCCCCTGGATAGGCTGTACAAAAAAGCCCCAATAGATTGAAAAGTAACATTTTTAACATCAATATGCAATGCAAGAAAGTAACATGTATATGCATTATATGATTAAACACTTACACTACAAAAATATAAAATCATAAGATCAATAGTGTGTGATTCAAATTTGATGAGAACTACACTATCAACAGTTGAGGTTGGCAGATTACAGTATTAATGTTTTCAGTTTAATAACTTCAACTCTATAGATATCATTTATGTAGAATAATTAATATTTTAACAGTTTAAGAAAAAACCCACAACTTCAGCTCCATGTATATCATATTCAATAATGAAATATTTTAACAAGTTTATAAACATTATGCCAACTTTATATTTCGATATTATTGTATTCAATAATTATTTTAAGTTTAAGATTCATAACTTAACTCTATGTGGATGATATGAATGAAATAATGGATATGTAGATATTCCTACACTTATAAATTTGAATTGTTGAAAACACACAAGTGAAGCAAGTGGACTGTCAATATTTAATAATTGAATATTTTTACTGTATTGTCACCATTTGCTACTGCAAGTCTCCTTGGATGATATGAAATGATGGATAATCCCTCTGGATAGTTGATTCTATCTTCTGGTTTATCAATTCTTTTTATGAAAGTTCCATCACTACTGAATAGCTGTAGTTTGTGTTGACTTGATATAATGATGTTGTCATCCTCATCAACTACTACTGCTCTTGGAGAATTTACCTTACCATCCTCATCACCTGCTTCAACAAGGAGTTTTATAAACCTTCCCTCATTATTAAATAATTGTAATCTACTGTTGCTATACTCCAATACAAGAAGGTGTCCTTGGTTAGTAAGAGTAACATCAGTGACATGACTCATTTGACCTTCTTTTGTACCTTGTGACCCTATTGTTTTGATGGTCTTGCCATTATTCATGTCAAACATGTACACACAGCTACTGGACCAATCACTTGCTGCATACAAAACATTTGATGTCTCATCCACATGAATGCTCCGTGGTGTATTCTGTACTCCCTCACTAATTGTTTTAATCAGCTGACCATTCATATTGCATATTCTGATAGGTTTATTAACATTGCAATCACTGAATGCTATGTTACCATTCTTCATTTTGTACATTTTGTTAACTCTCACACCTTGTGGTAGTGTAACCTTACCAATATATTCTCCTGATTGCTTGTACTTGAGCATTTCATTTGTCCAACATGAAACCAGTAAGGAGTCATCTTCACACTTAACTACATCTCTAATATATGTTGCATTTATATGAATAGTATTTACTAATCTTCCCCCTTCTACTTTGATTGTCATTGGTGATTGGTTAATTGGTTCATCATCAGCACTCACATCTAGTTTACAAACTCCTGGACTTGTGAATTTTCCTGTCACAAAATAATCTCCATTGTCATCTTCCTGAATTAGAATCAGTACTACTAGAAAATTGCTACAACACACATGTCATACTGTATAAGCCTTACTGTAGGCATAGGCCTATAGGCCTACTCAAATACGGTGCCAGATTCAATATTAGCCTTTACTCTTTTTTTATTTTTTTACGTACATAGAATGTGTCTAATGTAGAACTACAATTTTTACACTGTCTTGACTCTGTCTCTTATACACATCTTCCCATTCCTTGTGGTCCATAATTGTACAGTTCACACAGATTGGAGTTTTACAATCTGTGCAGTAGAACTCCAAAGGTTTACTGTGATGTGAACACAGAGGTGGATGTAACAAAGTCATCTGAGAGGGACTCATTGATTGCACATCCTCCATTAAATGTAACTTGTGATTTGCCATGGCTTTGAACTTCTTATGTTGATCACTACAAGTAGAGCACAAGTACTGTCTGCAATCCTGGCAGTAGTATTTTACTTGTCTTTCCTTTTCACAAACACTACATTTCATGTAATCACTCTGTGAAAATTGTTCGATAGTTTCTAATAAGTTATTTAGAAAGGTATTTGGTGGAAGCTTCTCAAGCCCTCTTTTTGGAATTGGATATGATTTTGAGCAAGTTGGGCAAGTCAGCTTACCCTTCTCCTTAACCCAATCTTCCAGGCATGCCAAACAGAAACTATGGAGGCAGTTGAGAGATTTTGGATTTTGAAGTCTCTTAAAGCAGATGGTACACTCTAAGACCGTCTCATCAACATGTTCCAGAAACTGATTCAACTTACTGGTAGCCATCTTGAATTGATATCCTGTGAAATTTAAATAATAGGTAATATAATTATTAACATTTGAACTGGATAAATAATTATGTCATGCAATTATAGTCTGATGACCCTATAGAAAATAATGGCTTCTATCTCCTATTTTGTATAGGGTCTGAAATAACTTGACAATAATTGCTTTATAGTCAGTTATATATAAATGTATGCTACTGTATATATAATCAAATCACTGGTCATGGTGGCTAGTTGTCCAGTGATCACTACAGGACCTGTGCATGTGTATTAGCTGCATGTTTGAGACGGTTTACTTACATGTACAGGGGAATATATAAGCAACAGTATTCACATGAAATGAAGTCAAGTCAAATTGAAATTTTAATTCAAAAACCAGATTTAATCATCGCAAGTCATAGTGTAAATTGCAAAGTAAACACCACTCTCAAAATATATATGGGACTTGGAAGACAACACACAACAACATCAATTTTCCTGGTCAATACTAAAATGGTCATCATCGTACTCCCCCAACTCTAAGATGTAATTTGTGTCTATGGGAAAATGTTACATAATCACCAGTAATCACCAGTAATAAACTTTAAACAAGAAAACAGCAGGGGCGGATCCAGAGATGTCCAAAAGGGGGCCCTGAAAAGGGGGCCAAAATTTGGGCTGATCGAGTCGGCCCCCTCTAAGTCCGCCCCTTAACAGGACATTTTCCCACAGTCTGTACCACCTGGCCATTAGCTTTCCAGCCTTGATAGTGTGTAGCCAAGCATGAAACTTGAAATAAATGGCATGATGGTACATTGTTTCTTAAAATGTTCCGAAAGAGGTCCAGGGGGTGAATCCCCCAAAAAATTTGACAATTTATTGGTTTCAATTTTAGAGTCTACTAATACTGTATGTGCAAAGTACATATTAATTTTTTTTTCTTTCTGGCAAATTGTGTTTTTCTTCTTGAAGGGAGCCCTGGCCGCATTATCTTTTTTCTCCATACAGTTCAGGTAGAAATTATATAGGGCACATTTAGGTGAACTAATAACATGAATAATGCATGTATGCTTTACACTAATCGCCAGTCGCGAAAGTGGTGTGGTGTTTACTGCTTGTGGAATATGAAAGCTACGGTGTAGTTTGGGCATGGAGGACTTAGTTTAAAAACTAAACTAATCCATCCATGGTTAGGGTAGACCAAAATCCCTTGGTAGTCGGTCGAGAGGAAAGTGTATACAGTTGATACAGAGTGAACTACCGTAATTGACTATTACTGTAATTACAAGATAGTATAATACATTCTCCAAGTATCGAAATGCAAGCCATTGTGTTGGGGTTCGATATTTCAACATTAATTATGTCATCAACTGTAATTAATTAACATACAATGTGGTCTTTGAAAGTGTAAAAGGGCAGCGCTGAATTTCTGGTCAATTGTTTGAGTAGTGTAAAGTATAGCAATAATTAACTACTACAGTGCTACCATACTGATTCTAAAGAAATGTTTAGAAATGCTCGGACACACAGTTACAATTCTACGTATTTTTTGTTGTTGACTTCTATACAAACATTTCGTTCATATTCAATATGAATAAAGGCATAGATTATATAGCAAGCAGGTATATTATAAACACTAATTTTCAATATTTTATACACATGACAATTTTTACACTGTCTTGACTACCAAGGCTTATTTGACGAAATTTTGGGCTAGTGACTCCATAGCATTCATCCACACATAAAACTCGATGCACCACTGACTCTGTTTCGCAAAGGTGAGACTCTATGCATATTCATGCATATCAGTTCTCCTAACTGACCTAAAATAGCACCCTCTATAATTTTTCTGCCGCAACTGTATGGGAAAAAGAAATAATGCACCCTGGCGGCGCCCCCCCCCACTTTCGCCACCTCTGTGCAATCATTGAATGAGCTGTGCATTAGCTCCAATATGATCCGATCAGGTAAGTGAGTGACTCTGCCCATAATGAGCTCCAGGATGCAGGAGAGTAACTGCAAGAGTCCCACCTTGTGTTAATTTAGATAATTTAAAAAATAAAAAATAAATAATTTTAAATTTGAAAATAATAATAATAAATTAATAAGTATGCCTTATTATACTGAAAATACAAAAGAAATATATACAAAGCAATACTGCAGAGAAGTTGCTGGTCTCTCTTTGTAAAAAGCAGTGTATATGTCAACTGATAACTGTCAATGACGGTCTAAAGCCCTCAAGACAGAGGACAACTAACAAAACAAGTGACAAGTAATACGTAAATTTATACAGCTTAGATCTATCCATAAAGGGAAGCCAAAACAATGAAGAGGGTTGAAAAAAGTACCTTAAGGCGAAAGTAGTGTCGCTAAGGGGAAACTTAAACGACGTTATGGCTAAATTATAGATAAGAGTATATATATATACTGTATATATATATATATATATATATATAT